CAGAGCCCGCATTTTCATGATCCCACTGACAGAGGTGAGCGCTGAGGCTCACAGAGGTGAGATGACCTCTCAGAGGACATGCAGGTGAGCTGGCCTCCAAGTCTTAGTGGAAACTCCATGATCTCCGGACCGAACTTCCCTCGGGGCTTGTCCTGGGCCTTCAGAGGCGGAGTGTCACCTTCACTTTCGTGCTCTGGGCCCCTCGCTTCATGCCACCTTAATCTAGGCCCTGTAGAGGAAAGAAACAGCTAGCGCCTACCCACCTTTCATCCACGCATACGGGTTCTAGGGAATCAGACAGGGGCCCTGTGCTCCAGGAGTGGCCAGTCCGATGAGGGAGGCTGACCCGCAGAGAAAATAACTTTCAGAGATCAGAGCGATAGTGCAGGCAAAGGACGGGCGCAGCGGAAGGGGCCTGAAGGCGGCCTCCCAGGGGAGGAGGCACTGCAGCTAGGCCTTGGGGGGCGACGGTGTGTGTAGCCATGGGCAGTTCCCCAAGAGAACGCCCACCTTGGACTGTGCACCTCACTGTCCCACAAAGAAGAGCAAGGAAAGGGAGGGGGGTTCGTCAGAAGCTTCCTTTCAGCCTTCAGGTGGCGCCGTTGAGCCACGGAGCCGCACGCGCCTGGGAAGACTGTCCCGACCTCAGGACCTGGGAGAGGACCCAGGTCTCACCTGAGGGCTGTGCGCGTAGGAGCGGGTCCGGGCGGAGGGAGCGTCGCGACTTTGCACCGCAGGGGCGGCTTAACCGGGTTGCAGCGGGTGGGAGGCAGGCGGCGGGGGAGGGGTCTCCCTCAGCACCCACCCCCGCGCCCCGCCCCTGCACCCGGCCCCGCGGGCTCAGAGCTTCAATTCCCAGAGCCTGGGCGCAGGCGAAACAGATAAGCCCACGGGGGGCAGGGAGGGGCTGGAGCCCGATCCCCCGCGGGCCCGACATCCAGCCTGCTACCCGCCTCCTGGTCCCTCCCCGCGCTAACTCTCCCGGCGCCCTCGCCGGCCGCGGGCGGAGCTCGATCGGCGGCGCTCGGAGCTCTCGGGCCCCCGCCCCTGCCCCTCCTTCCCCGGAGCCCCCAGCGGCCGCCGCCGTAGAGCCCCGCGCGGCGCGAGCAGGTACGTGCGCCTTGGTGGCGGCTCCGGGCCGGGTCGGGCCGGGCCGGGGAGGGGGCGGGAGCCGGGGAGGGAGAGGCAGTGGCGGCCGGGCCCGCGCGCGCCGGGGCTGCGACGCAGCGGAGACACCGGCGGACGGGCGCCGGTGCAGGGAGGCGGGCGGGCGCCCGGGGAGGACTCGCCCCTGCCCCGGCCCGCGGGCCGCCGGTGCCAGCGTCTCCCGCGCGCGGAGACGGGGAGGGAGGCCCGGCGCAGGTACGCACGCGGACCGGGAACGGCGGGTGCCGGCAGGAGGCCGAGGGCCCCAGGCGTGGAGGGCCGGCAGGGGAGAGCTAGCCTGACCTCGCGGCCCGGCCGAAGGACACGCGGCGAGGGGACCCGGGCGCACGCGGGTCCCCGAGGAGCCGGGCCTCCCCGGGCCGCCTGGCCGCTCTGTTACTGGCGCCGCCCGGCCCGGTCCGGCCTGGCCCAACCCCGCTGCGTTTGTGGTCAAGGGCAGGAGCAGGGGGTGTGAGCTGCGGGCAGACGGGCGCGCGGTGCGGCTGGCAGCCGGGGTGCGGGGGTTTTCAAGCGTGGAACTTTGGGTATAACAGCGTGGACCTGCGTGTGCGTATGTGCGCGCCCCGAGGCTTTGTGTACAACTCGTGCGTGTGTGTATCGATTGGGTTTTGTGAAGCTTCACCCACGGCCGCTGTGCGTCTGTCTCCCCGCGTGTTAGTGCGTGTGCGGGGAGGGGGTGGGGTGCTGGGCTCCCGGAGGGGCTCGGTGGGTGCCGTCTTGGGGGGGTAGTTAACTGTGTGTGAGTAACAAGCTCTACCCCTTCCCCAGGTGTGAGTCCCAGTGTGGTCTGCGGATCTGTGGGTCGCACTGCGTGGTTTCCCATGTCTCTGGGTGCTGCCTGTAGAAAAGGTCCTTGGGGGTGTGAATGTATATCCGGGGTGTGTGTCTTTCGGTTCTGTTGGGCTGCAGATGAAATTGGAGTGATTGGAGTGTTACTGGTACTGTTGGCGTGAGGAGGGGTGTGCGGTGAGCAGTGGACACCAGCATCTTTGTCAGTTTCTGCTTGTGTGTGGGGCGGGGGGGTGGTAATTGGGCATTCCCATGTATGACTGGTGGGGACTGGTGGGGATCTCTGAATCTGTGTGGGAGACATCACAACTCCGGGTGACAGGGAGCCTCTTTTTTCCTCTGCCCTTTTCCTAACTCTGGCATCCTGAGAAAAAGTTTCCCGTTCCTGCTAGCTGAAAGCCCTGCTCCCAAAATGTGGGTGCCCTTAGTTTCCTTGGGATACGGAGGTATCAGCATGGGTGCTGAAGATCTGGGTGGAGGGGGGCACATCTGGACACCTAGTGGACAGGAATGGTCACGCCCCTCCCTGTTTGTGGTGGCACTCAGGAAAATGATTTTGCTGCCAAGACTGGAAAAAAAAAAAAAAAAGCCAGCCGGCACACCACACCACACCACACCTCTCCTCTCCTTTTACTGGAATGTGGGGACAGCCTGGGCAGAGCCTGGCTCTGAGTAGATACCCTCCTTCCCTGGGGTGGGGGAGGGATTGTCTTCCCTGCGGCCAGTTGCCAAGCCATTCCTGAGGGCTGGCTGTGTTCCAAGCCAGGGGTCTGGGACCTGGACAGAATTCCGACACATCCCTGCCCTCAAGCTGCTCACTGTGGCCTTAAATGGTGGGACCAAGTAGAGTCTACAGGTGGGGGCTGGAAGAGCCAGTGAGGGAGGGTGGAATGATGCCATGGGTGCAGAGAATGCAGGTCTGCAGGTTTGTAAGAAGTAACAGTTCTTAGGAAAACCATGTCCAACTTCTGACCCCGGGGGCATGCCAGGGGAGCTTGCCCCGGTTTGTAAAGTGGAGGTAGTAATTCCTGCTTGTGGGGCTGGCAAAGGTTACCGGAGAGACTCCTGAGCTAAAGTGCCTACTGTCAGGTGGGTGCTCAGTAAACGTTTATTAAATTGGAACTCAGGCAAGAGGGCCGTGGTGCTAGGAATGGGTTGTAAGTGGAAACAGGCTTTGTACTCACATGAAAGGCCCGGTTGTGCTAAGAGGAGGTGTCTGCTGCAAAGTCCACGTTGGAAGCAAGATCAGAAGGATTGAAAAACGTGCCTTCTTGCACTGAGGTTCCATGAGTTTCATTCATTCATTCATTCCATTCATTTGCACTTCATTTGCTCATATTCTCTCACTCACACACACACACACGCATGCACACACGCTTGCACGCACACACACAGAACCACAGGGCACAGGAGAGTACAGTCAGGTTTGGGAATGCAGAGAAACATCTTGACTTGTGTGTATGTGTGTGTAGACTAACCACGGCATGTGAGCTGCTCTGTACCTGGGGGTCTCTGTATGTAGGGCACCAGGACTTGGGTCTGTGTGCCTGGGGCCCTGGGCGTGTATGCCCCAGGGATGTCGGTGTGTGCAGAGAAGGCTAAGGTGGGGAAGGGGCCTGAGGTGAGAGCTGGGAGCTGGGGCAGCACTGGCTGTCCCTGAGGGAGGACGCTGTCCACTCCAGTGGAGGGCGGCTGTGAGGGAATGAGAGCCTGCATGGGCCAGAGTCTTCCATTTTACGAGAGAAGCCAGGAATCCAAAGTTTAAAATGTAAAATCTTTTGCTTTTTATATATTGGCAACTACTTCAAAAACAAGTGAACAGACCAGAAACAACAAAAAAGCAAAACTTCTGCCAGCCAAATATGGTCCGTTGGCTGAAGCTGGCATTCTCTGACAGGAATGGACATGTGCTGTCTGTGTGTGTGGGTGTGTGTTCGGATCCTTGGGTGGGGTGTCTCCTCTTTGAGCGGACACTGCCCCCTCCTAAACTCCCCCTCAGCTCCCTTCCGTGATACCCATCCAGGCCCCTGCCATCTTCTACATCCATAAAGGCATTGGGCTTTGACCAGTTACGGCTCTCAAATGGGCTCCTTCCTCTTCACCCTCTCAGCCGCCATCCCTGCCGCCCCCGACCACAGCAGATTCCTTCCAGGACTCCTGATCTCTGCCCTTCTCCTGTCCTGTCTTCCACATAGGGAGGAGCCCGAGAGAGCTTCCTGAAACCTAGGCAGATGTCAGCACTCTCTGCCCACACCTCAGCTCCTTGGCTCCCTGGTCTGGCCTCCAGAGTCCTTTGAGGGTTGGTGCTAGCTGCCCTCTGAGGCACCGCTCTCTAGAATGCCTTCACCACACCCCCAAGCTGGGGGATTTCCACTCATCCTCTGAGATCCAGTTCAAATGCCATCAACTTCTAGAAACTTCCCTTTCTTCTCTTTGTCCCCACACCATCGTCCTCATCTCTGCCCCTCTCCTCACCCGTAGTCACACTTGTTTCATTAATTGAACTGGCTGGGGCCTTACATTATTTTATGAACTCCCCACATCAAGCCACAGGGAGGCATTTCACTTATTCCCATTTAACAGATGAGAACCTTGAGTCTGGAGGGGTCACATCACTTGTCCAAGTTGGAGTGGTGAAGCTGGGATTTGAACCTGAGACTCACTGTGTGAATGATAGCTTACTGAGCACCTACTGTTCTGAGTCCTTTGAATGGATGAGGTCAATTGCTACGCCGATCCCATTAAGTAGGAAGGAGTAGTGTTACAATCACTTAATAGTCCGGGAAACTGAGGCCAGAGAGGGTAAGTAGATTGTCCAAAGCCATGTGCCAGCCAGTGATGAAGCAGGGTCCTGGCCTGGATTGGATGACTCTGTCATTGTCTGAGTCCCCATCTCCAAGTCTGTCTGGCAGGCTCTCGCAGGTGGGAACTGTGCCCGGCCATCCTGACATCGCTCCCAACCGAGCCTGAGGCCCGGCGCCAGCAGGCTCCTGGTAGAGTTTTGTTAAATTTGCCTTTCTCTCTTCTCTTCTAGCTGCCAAGGGCCAAGGGATGAGTGGGGGCCCACCTTCCCAATGGCATCTCCCCCCGGTCTGGAACTGAAGACACTGCGTAATGGCCCCCAGATCCCAAGGAGACCAGCTCCTCTGGGCCCGGCGGCTGCGCCCAGGGAGGGTGTGGAGAACGTCTGCTTTTCCTCAGAGGAGCACGAGACCCATTTCCAGAACCCAGGGGACACCAGACTGGGTAGATCCCCCAGTCCCCCGGCGGGGGGCCCCTCACGGCCCCGATCCCAGCGATCCCAGCGGGACGATCTATCCCTGCGTTCTGAAGAGGGGCCGGGCCTGGAGCCCGTGAGCCGCCCAGTGGATTACGGCTTTGTTTCTGCTCTGGTTTTTCTGGTGAGTGGGATCCTCCTGGTGGTGACAGCGTACGCCATCCCCCGTGAGGCCCGCGTCAACCCTGACACAGTGACGGCGCGGGAGATGGAACGACTAGAGATGTACTATGCCCGCTTGGGCTCCCACCTAGACAAGTGCATCATCGCGGGCCTGGGGCTGCTCACTGTGGGCGGCATGCTTTTGTCAGTGCTGCTGATGGTCTCCCTGTGCAAGGGGGAGCTGTATCGCCGGCCCACCTTCGTCCCTGGCAGAGGCTCCCGGAAGACCTATGGCTCCATTAACCTGCGCATGAGACAGCTCAGTGGGGAAGGGGGCCAGGCGCTGGTGGAGAACGAGGTTGTCCAGGTCTCAGAAACCAGCCACACCCTCCAGGGCTCTTAAGTAAGAGCCCACCCTATCTGGCTGCTTTGGCTTCAGGGCTGCAAGGCCCCCTGAGAGCCTGGGGTTGCAGACTGAGCTCCACAGAGGGCCCTGCAGGAGGGGCGTTGGGTGCTGGAGGGGGAGTCCTGGGGCCAGATCCAGGTGGCAGGTGGGAGAGCGCCCCCCCCCCATCTGTCGGCAGCTTGAGGTTTTGCATTATTTGGAGGATGGCTTCTGCTGCTAAAAATACAAAAGTTTGGAAACCACTGCCCATGGAGGATGAGGTTTCTTGGCGTTTCCAAGAATTGAGAGCCATCTGAAAGGCTGCCCCTCCTGTTCCCCATGCCTTGGGGAATTTCGGAATCTCTGTGGTCCTCATCAGCCAAGTGTGGGTATTGGGCGACCTTGGAGGGACCCCCTGTTAGCCCTGACCATCTCTTGGGAGGTGGCTTACCGAAGAGAGGACAAGTCAGTACGGAGGTGACTGTCCTCTCTCCAGGTCTCATTCCCCTACCTGTGAAGTGAGAGGGTTGGGCTTGATGTTCCCCAGGGCCCCTCCAGTTCTGCTCAAGGAATGGGAGCCCAGTAGATCTCTGCCTCTGGCCACCTCTACAGGAAAGAGGGTGTTCGGCAGCTGCTCACCATTCTTTGTGCCATTTTCTGGTCCGGCTCCAGTGGCCACCACTGTCACACATGCAGCAGCTCACATGATCCTGCGCATGATCCTTAAGAGGGGAGCCTCTTAAGTCCCCTGGTTAGGCAGGGTTCAAGTCCAAAATTGGCTACAGCCTGATTTGGATCTTGGGATTGAATTACCTACAGTGACCAGATCTTAGCACACGTCTAGCAAGGTCAAGTGCATAGTTTTCACCAACCCCCCTGATAGGAGGGCTTTGTTGTATTTCCATGGACATGATGTGGGCTCCCAGTACCTCCCCCTTCTCAATATTATGTCTCCATGCCACACCTTATTCTGGTAGCAGAAAAAAAAATTTTTTTTAATGCCAAATTTGTAACCTCCCTACTCCCCTTTAGCAGTAAAGTGAGCCCCAGTGTATGTAGGAGAAATCAGGTATGTTCTGGTGGCTTAGAAGCTCCCAGTGGCCACTCTGTGTCCCGTTTTTCCTGTGGCATGTTTGCAGGCTCTGTCCAGACTCTTTACACTACTGACCAGGAAAGAAGTGGGCCGTGGTAGGGCAGGGAGCTCCAGGTGCTTGAGGACTGGGGGAGGCATTGCCCAGTATGAACAACCCTAGGGGGCTTCGAGAATACATGCCTTCTAGGCCCCCCTGGTGTGAAGACTCTGTGAGTCCCCTGACCCCACACAGGTCCTGCTCCGTCTCCATTGGCCGTGTGGGTCCTGGATCCTAACTGTCTCTTGGGAGTGGTAGGGTGAGGTGGGAATGGGGTCTGTGGGCTAGAGTAGCCCCGATTGGCTGTAACCTGAGCCTTCGCTCTGGCGAGCTGAACATCTGGGCAATGTAACATCACAGCTTCTAGGACAGATCGGATATCTGCTCCTGCTGGCGGGTTTTGCCAGGAGCAGAGGGTCGGGGGAGGACTGGAGGGGAAAAGGGCTCTTCAGTGTGGCCTGCTGGGTTGCCTTCCTGGTGCTGAAGGGGTGTGGTTTGAAAAGAACAAAGCCTCAAGTGGGTAGAAGATGCCCAAGTCAGGGCTTCCCTGATGTGTCGCTTCCCCTACCTGCACTATAGGGGAGGAGCGCAAGCACAAAGCGGCGGGACTAGTTTGAGCTGAACATTCCAAATGATGGGCTGAGGCCTTTCCAGTCCCTACAGTGATGATAATACAAATATTGGTCCAAGCCATGTGGATTACCATGGCGGCAGCAGGGGGTGTGGGGGGAGGGCTTGTTTCACTCAAACCTGTTGAGTGGATGCATCTGGGACCATTAGTGCCTATCAGTTTAAAGGCAGTGAATTGTATTTAGAGGCTAAGTGTGTTGGAAGATGGAATCCCGGGAATCTCAGGTTCTCTCCAAGCCAGAGAAGCCTGCTTTGCATCCTAATGCAGAAACTCCTTTAGAAAATGTGTATAATGGATCGAGGCAGTCATTACCTTGTCAGTAAATTAAGAAAACTTGAGAAATGCCAAAAACATTTCCCCAAGACGGCAGCTGAGCTCTCCCAGTCAGTGGGGGCAGAAATAGGTTTAGGAGAGAATCAGGGAGGAGCGCAGCACAGGGGGCTGAGAACTTTCTTTATAGGTTTTCTGGGGTGTGGGTGTGACGTCTCAGGGGACCCTGTGGTCACTGGAATGTGCTTTGCGTGCAGGAACTGCCTCTCCTACCCGACATGCTACTGTGGTCCGCCCCCAGACTTGCTTCCCTAGTGTGTTAGATATCTGCTTGAGTTGGTAAACCTGGTTTTAATCCAGGCTCTGCCATTTCCTGGCTGTGTGACCTTGGGCAAGCTACTCCACCTCTCTGAGTATTGTGTTCTTTATCCCACTTTATGAAGTAGGAGAGTTATGAGGTCCAGTCACTAAGGTCACTCCTTTCCCTCTTCAGTTTGGGATAACTGTATTAGGCCTAAAATCTGCCTTCTCTCCTACATCATCCTACCCATGAGCGTTTCTGCTTGGTTCTACGTTAGGAATCTGCTCCTGACCACCCATCAGCCACAATTACCGGCTCCACGCTGCACATCACTATTCTAATTTCGCTCCTGTCCATGCTCTGGGCCCAGTTCATCTTTGCTCTGCAGCCAGACAGATTTAATTGGGTCAGGTCCCTCCTCTGCTCAAAACCCTCCTATAGCTCCCTCTCACTCTGGGCAAAGGCCAAAATTCTCCCTCTGACCAGAGGAGGATGTACTGTCCAGGCCCCTCACTTGCCCCAGGCACCCTGAGTCCAAGTTTTATTTGTAATTTTGATTTTTTAAAAGGATGGTTCCTTAAATTGCATACATTCAGGTCCCCCTAGACATGGGTCCATCCCTCACGGCGGCCCATGAAACTCTACACGATCCGGTCCCTGTGGCTCTCTGACCTTAATTCTCACCCCTTGCCTTCTTGCTCACCCCAGCCAAACTTGTTTCCTTGCTATTCCTCAGCCCTGCCAGGCACACTCCCACCTCAGGGCCTTTACACGTGCTACCAGGGAGGCATTTCCCCTTGATAGGTGCAAGGCCCACTTGCTCACCTCCTTAGGGGCTTATTCAAATATTACCTTTTTCAATGAGTCCTCTGCTGACTGCCTAATTAAAATAGCACCCTTTCCCCCAACTCAACCTCATTCTCTTTCCCTTCCCTGCTTTATTTTTCTCCAGAGCACTAATCGCCACTCAGCCAGCTGTGTTTTATGCTGCTTGTTTCTCTAACCCACCACCTCCCCCACTGGATTGCAAGCAGCATGAGGGCCCAGGGCTAGAACAGTACCTGACACCTGGTGGATGCTCAGTGTTGAATGAGTGAATGAATGAATGAATGAATGAAACCCGTTTCCTCCACCTGCTGTGTGGCAGCCAGGCCCTGGGCAGGGTCCCAGAGACCCACAGCCCCTACCTCACTCCCTGAACTCCCTTTAGGGCAGAAGATCCTGTGGCTGGAAGGAGGGACAGTTTGTCCCTGGGACCTGAAGTTGGAGCTTCGGAACCCATTTGCCTTCCTCTCTCAGGCCCTTGGTACTGCTTTATGTGGGAGAGGTAGAGGGCTTTCTCCTCTGATGGAGGAAGACTGTTCTTCCCCAGACTTATTGGAGATGGGTTCCAGCTAGTCTTGGGGGACATTTACTGGCTACCTAGGAGCCTGTGAGATACACCAGCCTGATTGTCTCTTACTCAAGAGACTTGAATGCCCAGGCCTGGGCCTTTGAAACAGTAATCTGTCCTCACCTCTGCTCACTGACACCAGGCATCCTGAGTCTTCAGGCTGAAAACATCTGCTGTCTGAGATCCCACCGTTATTGCTCCCTTCCTTGAGAATAAGCATTACCTTATCTGGGATGCTCTTCAAAATGCCCCCCTTGGTACATGCACATACCCACACACGTGCAGAACACACACTTGTGCATGCACCTGTGTGTGTGTGTGCACGCACACGTACCCCCGACTTTATTTCACCTAGCTCAGAAGCCAGGACACATACTCTTCTGAAGCAGCTCCAAGCCAAAGCAACCTCTGGATTACTGAGAATGTATTCTCTTTCTCCAGAAGCCACAGGCCTTGCTGTTCCCAGGCTGCTAACCTCACAGCAACAGTCAAGTTTCCCCTGTCCGGGTAATGCTGGTGTCTCTATCCTTTCTGCTTCCCTGTGGGGCACAGGGGAAGAGATGTCCACAGAATGTTTCCACCAGGCATTTGGGGAGGGGACTGTATGGTCTTGGCTGGGAACCAGAGGAGCCGGGTCCTGCAAGTCACCCCTTCCCTGAGGACCTCTGGGCCAATCACCTCCTCTTTGGTCCTCCAGAATGAAATTGGAAACCTTTCCACTCTGCCTTGTCTGGGGACTGAGGAGATCAGGAAACACAAGCAGAAGGCATTGCAAAGTTAAGAGCATGTGACCCCATGTCTGGAGAGCTTTGTAGGGGCAGAAGGAGGGAGGGGGAAGGGAGGCATTATGAAGCCATAGGAGCTGGAGCTCTGTCTGCGAGGGGAGTAGGGTGTTGGTAGCACTGAAGAAGTTGGGCCTGTTGGTTTCCCCGGGAGAGAGTAGGCTCCCCTTGATGTCCCCAAGGAGGTAGATATTGGCTGAGGGAGGGAGAAGCTTGCTGAGACCTTGCCCTGGTTGGAGTGGCCGGGAGCTCCTTGTTAGTGCAGTTATGTTAGATTACTGGTCAGGTATTGGGTATCTTTAGGGATGGAACATAGTAGAGTTGGAGAGGATTTAATCAAGAGGCTCCCCAAGCTTCCAACCCCTATTCTTTAAGAAGAGCCAATGTCCCAATGGCCCTCTGTTATCTTCTCTTTGACCCGAATACCCTCTTCCCCAGATCATTCCTCTTCCTGGGTTAGGTCATCCAGGAGCCAATGAGAAGTAGGCCTAGGATATCTGAATTGTGCTGC